GACTAACAGACAATGCGTTTTCAGTTTTTCCTGTAATTATTCCAGCAATTAATGAATAATTTACCTCGAAATCAATTCGACCAATCAGATGTCACTGTTTTGAAAGGGCACGTGGATGTTTATGACGCGAGCAACGATCTGTGTTATCGTCAACAGATCGCGCTACTTTTTCAGTTTCGAAGTAGATTTTTCAAAAGTCGGTTTGTAGTTGTTTTTCTCCTTGAGAGTTTCGCTGTTTTCTGCCGAAAGAATGCGTGAAATTGTTCATTTACAAGCAGGTCAGTGCGGAAACCAAATTGGCGCTAAGGTAAGTTATGTTGAAGTGAATTTCTGGAACTTTTGCTTCAATTTTGATGCGCGAAATTGTCGTTTGCTATCGTGGCTGATTGCCCAACCATTTCATCGTTCTTCCTCAGTTTTGGGAAGTCATCTCGGACGAACACGGAATTGATCCTACCGGTACCTATCATGGTGATTCTGACCTCCAGTTAGAAAGAATAAATGTTTACTACAATGAAGCAACCGGTAAGTCTTTACATGTAAGCTTAATAAAGTAAAAAGCTTGATTCAGTCTGACATGCCTCTGCACGGCAATAAAATTTCAGTTTGCTGATGTTTGTTCGGGTTTATTTGTTCAATGTTAGGAGGAAAATATGTACCGCGAGCAGTTTTGGTCGACCTAGAACCCGGAACAATGGACTCTGTTCGCTCTGGACCTTTCGGACAAATTTTCAGACCTGATAATTTTGTTTTCGGTAAGTCAGCTAGTTTTAAAGAAGATATGGGTTAGTTTAGGCCTTGGATAATATTTTGTCTCGAACAGATGTGTATACTAGTCAACAAGATATCAAAGTCACCAATCAGACAACGCACGAACAGACCTCTTTAAAATAATGAGCTTAATTTTCTGACCCATAAACGTCCGTGTGCAAAGTCCAACCTGTTGAACTGTCAGATTCTAAAGTGTGCTGGATCTTATTGTCGACTTTTTTCTCATAGCAGCAACTGAGCGTCAATAAGTTTATACATTTAAGAGAAAAAAACACTGATTTATACAAGTTATTCAACTTCTGTGTATTTGAAACTTTTCCAGACTTTTCCTTGAAACCTTTGCGAAAATGTCGGCTAAAAGCGTAAATACTTAACGTAGTTTGCGAAAGAAGAAACTGACATATAAAAAAACCTAGTAATGTTCCTGTGTCGTTCAACCTGTTTTACACGATGAAAACGTAAACGTGGAAACGGAAAAATGGAAACGTGAAGAAGAGGAGAAAGAAAGTAAAACTGATCACCACGCTCCAAGTCAAATGAGATGGATCATCATTGGAATTGCTTCTCATGTGAACCTTTCCGCAAACTAAGAAATCCTGTAACCGGGGTAGCAAAGCCAGAGCTTATCGCTCGTTGTTTTCTTTTTCTTTTTTTGTATTTACAATACAGGACAAAGCGGTGCTGGTAATAACTGGGCGAAAGGCCATTACACAGAAGGCGCCGAGCTCGTAGATTCTGTACTTGACGTTGTTCGAAAAGAAGCGGAAAGCTGTGATTGTTTGCAAGGATTTCAGCTTACACACTCTCTCGGAGGTGGCACTGGCTCAGGAATGGGGACTCTTTTGATTTCAAAGATCCGTGAGGAATACCCCGACCGTATTATGAACACGTTTAGCGTTGTTCCTTCCCCTAAAGTGTCAGACACCGTCGTTGAACCCTATAATGCCACCCTGTCGGTTCATCAGTTGGTTGAAAACACGGATGAGACGTACTGCATCGACAACGAGGCCCTTTACGATATCTGCTTTCGGACTCTGAAGCTCACAACACCAACATATGGCGACTTAAACCACCTTGTTTCCGCCACAATGAGCGGTGTAACGACTTGTCTACGGTTTCCCGGCCAGGTTTACTAAAAACTTTTTATCTTTTTTTTCTAAAAAAGAAACAATAGTTAAATAGGGTAAATTTGACCACAGAAATAAAATTCCTTTATAGTCGTAAAATTACTGCTTTTTTTATACGTCCCCAAAACATGAATTTATGCACAGTGTCAGAAATGTTGCAATTCAAGCTCAAGTTAATGTTTTTGTGTGCTTGACTCTTTTATGTTTTATATACAAGTTAAAGGTCAGCAAGTTTTATGTCCATGCAAACGTTCAATTTCCAAGTTAGCTTGAACACCCTTTCGAAGGCCAAGGCTATTATATTAAATGCAATCATGCTAAACATTTACGATCACTTCAACTTTTTTCCTGTTGTTTCATCATGTTTTAGCTCAATGCTGATTTGAGAAAACTTGCTGTGAATATGGTTCCATTCCCACGCCTTCACTTCTTTATGCCTGGATTTGCTCCGCTGACCAGCCGCGGTTCCCAACAGTATCGTGCACTCACAGTTCCTGAGTTAACTCAGCAGATGTTTGATGCCAAAAACATGATGGCAGCTTGCGATCCTCGCCATGGCAGATACCTGACTGTCGCTGCCATGTTCCGTGGCCGCATGTCTATGAAAGAGGTCGACGAACAGATGCTGAATGTACAAAACAAGAACAGCTCCTACTTCGTGGAATGGATCCCTAACAACGTCAAGACTGCAGTATGCGATATCCCTCCTCGCGGCTTGAAGATGTCTGCCACCTTTGTGGGTAACAGCACCGCTATCCAGGAACTTTTCAAACGCATCAGTGAGCAGTTCACTGCTATGTTTCGGCGCAAAGCTTTCTTGCATTGGTACACTGGGGAGGGTATGGATGAGATGGAGTTCACTGAGGTGTGTACCTTATGCGTGATGGATATAAATTCACTTTACAGCTTTTCCAGCCATGCCTTAGTTGTAATATTTTGTGAGAAGAATAAAGTGGTCTTAAAAACTTTACGAATCAATGAGCTGCATCAAAACTATTTTAAACTTGCACGAAGATTTTGAATCAAAACTTTCGCCTGTCTCTTTTTTAAGCGGTGGTCCTTATGTCTTCGAGGTCAGCTTTTTTGTTCAGCGCTTTCTTTGTTTATGAACCCCAGAACCTGACAAAAAAAATACTTATGGCATTGAAAACAGCAGACGTTAACAGATGGCGGGAAAGTGTTTTGCCGTAACGCTAAACGAGAAGTGTGTATACACCTATCCCTTCACTTCAGTTTTCTATTTTAGGCACTTTTTATCTACTCTTTGTATGTTACAGTGTTTGTGAAACGCTCTTTTTTTGTTGCTTTTAAGGCCGAGTCCAACATGAATGACCTTGTGTCCGAGTATCAACAGTATCAAGATGCCACTGCTGAAGAGGAAGGAGAATTTGATGAAGAAGAAGAGGAGGAAGGCGAAGCAGCATAAACATTTTACTGGATGTGACTCAAAACTGAAATAAAAACTGTGAAAAATAACTTGATGTGTGTGTTTTGCGGATGTTGAGGTCGATAAACTGGCAAAAATTGACGAAACCCCAGCTGATTAACTACAAAAGTGAATGGAACATCTGAAAATGTTAGGTTTATAATCAGATTTAGCTGTCAATGGTATCAGGGTCTATCGTTCTTTTGTCTCGTTTCTATTCCCCCTCTTTGCTTAAAAAACAAAAAGTCAGTCGGAAAACGAAAAAATTTTCCAAACCTCTGGTGATAGCACTTTTTTCCTGACATACAACTGTGTAAGATTTTTTTCCAGCATTATAGGCAATGAAAAATATTTTTCTCAGCTTAGGAATTTTTTCGCCAGGTATTTCCTTGCAAGAATATTTTTTCCAGTCTGTAGGATATTTTTTCTGAAATCACCCTCAAAAGTCAAATGGTCTGGCACTAAACCACCGAAACTAAAGGATTTACCAAAGCAGCTTGGCTAAAGACCCAGTCCGGATTACCTTCGGAATGAGGTATGGTGATTCAGTTAGACTGCAAAACAGTCGGTTTTTTTCTCAAAATCAGTAAAGAAATCGGTAAAGAGTCTTGCGCGCACGAAGGGGCGTCGATAAAACCAGAAACATGGAACATCCCGGAACATCCCGGAACATTCCGGAACATCCCGGAACATCCCGGAACATGAAAAAATAAAAATAATTTTCATGAAAAAAAAAATATAATAAAATAATGATAATAAAACAATTTTTGTAAACATTTAATAAGAACGTAAAATAACAAAAAAAAAAAAAACGAATAATAATGAAATAATCAAGAAAAAGAAACTCGTATCCTCCCCGAGTATGAGAAAACAATATTTTGTCCAACAAATTAAAATTTGTTGGGCGAGTGAGCCTGCAAATGACAGTAACAAGTGAAGGCTTACTTCTAAATTCAAAATATATTAAAATGGGTCGCGAGAAGGGGGTTTTCAAGCTTTCCTCACACAACCACCTGTTGTAATTGTTTGCCATGAGTTAATCATTTGGCGGTTATCCATTTACGGTTCTGCGATGGTCTGAAATGTCGGTGCAGTATTTCATGTCAAGCCAAGTCGGTAAGTAACTCATGTCAAGCCAACATA